GTGTGTGTGTGTGTGTGTGTGTGTGTTTGTGTCTATGTGTATGTATGTGTGTGTGTGTGTGTGTGTGTGTGTGTGTGCGCGTGCCCGCTTGGGTGCATGCGTGCGGAGAGGGGTGGTGGTGGTATTTGTGAGTGGGACAGTTGTTGGGCTTGACTGGGTTTTTTTATAGGGAAGGGGGATGTTTTTTTCGCGTGTCCTTATGCGTTTTTACGCGCTCACGATAAGTAACTAGTCAATAAAGTTTGAAATATTAGTCGGATTAGACTGAAGACCGTTCCAAATATTTACATTCCAACATGACTTAGTATTGATAATACAATCGATGCTTCTGGAGAGAGAAAAAGAAACTTTTGAAAAGCAAAATCAACTTCAAAATTGAATAAGTATTGAAACTGACCAAGGCAAATCAGCAATCAATACTGCCAATAATGTATTAAAATTAATTATTACAATCAGTGTTCACCCGTATGGTTTAAAGTAGAAATAAAAAAGACGTAGAGAAAAATAGCAAAAAGAAATTAAATCTGTATCACAGTTTTGAACAGCGAGGAACTATTTTGAATATCCGCGAACTTGTGATATATCGCCTTAGAAAGTTGAGAAAACATGAGGCCATAGACCTCTTTGGTCTTGGATGAAGTTTTGAACCACTGAGGAGTGTGTGTACAATACTGTAGCTTTCTGCTATCGTTTATTTGGAAAACGCCTCCCACCGACAAAATCTAGAACATATAGGTGGCTGGCTGCTTTTTTCCCTTCTCGTCATAGGCCAGCCCGGACTGAATGGGATACTGGATCCCAGAAGACAAACGTAATTGTTTGATAAAACCCTCACAATGGAATCCAACAAACTGTCCCCATTTGTGACAGCGACCCCCAGTGTACAGATCCGCCTCTCCCCCCTCCCCCCTCTTCCACCCGATCATTCTCTCAAAGTAACGACTGTGTTGATTAAAGAAAGTAACAGAAAAGCTCTTACACACAGACATGACATTTCTAGCGAGGCTCAGATATTGGAACGATCGGTCATATCATTTCGCATAAAGAGCTCCACTTACGCAGAGATCTGCCCCCCCCCCTCCTTTCTGTATCCAAAAATGCCAAATAGTCGAAAATTGTTACGTGTCTGACAAATTTCATGAAGCCGGTCGAGGGACACGAGACCAGCGGGTCCAGAAGTTTAGGCTATCCGAAATTTATTTTCCCTTCGACCTAGGGTAGAGTGTTCTGGTGTTTTTGTTTTGTTTTTAAATCTCATTTTCTTAACATTTTAATGTGTATTTGACTTTGAATTCGTGTCAGTGTCAACTGTGTTTTGGATTCCATATTTAAACACTATGCCGATTTATTATCAAATAAAACGTCATCATGAAAAAAACTCTTATATTCTGTACGGACTGTGGTAATGAACCAGACAAAATCGCGATAGCTTAAGATGTCATTGGTGCGTGTTTGAAGAAAAATAACTCCAGCCCTTTATCCCGCTACATCAGTGAAATTGGTACTATGAGATATTGCTTGTGTGAATTCTATCAGGTTTTGATTTAGAAATCAAGTATGTCCTCCCGACCGAAACGAAAGGCTAAGCCAGATACAATTTAGAAGTACAATC